TCGGAAGTTCAGGCGCCAAGCAGCGACTCCCGGCTCTCCTCCCTCGGACCCGGGATCCCTCCCCCCGCGTGCCGGGTCCTCCCCTCGGCTCCCGGCCGCTCTCGCTGACTCAGCGTTACCCGAGCTGCGGAGGGCGGCGGGGCCACCCGAGCCCGCCCGGGTTAATTGCCCGGCGGTGCCGGCCCCCGCCCGGCCCCCGCCGCCCGCTCCGCCCCCGGGGAGACGTCGGGCGTCGGCGGCCGGGCTGCTGCCGAGCGGCGGGAGGGAGCGAGGCGGCAGCGCGGCGAGCCCCAGCGCAGCATGACTGCCATCGCCGTGCAGGTAGCCCGGGGCGCTGCCCCACCGCAGGGGAGAGGAGGGAGGGTCGCACCACGGCGAGCTCCAGCCCCGGACTCGGGGTGCGAGCGCCCCCGTAGCAAACCTGCAGGGTCCCCAGCGAAACTGCCGCCCGGGAAGTGACTTGGGGCGCCCGCCCCCCAACGCTGTTCCTGCGGCGCGGACGCCCCCTGCGCCCTTGGCTCCCAGAGTTCCCTGGGAAGGATTTTTCCGCTTCTCTTTGGGGTCCCCAGCGACCCATGGGTTCGGTTCCCCGTAGGGGTGCCTCCTTTGTAAGAAACGAGGCGCGTCTGGGGTGTCGGGCGGGCAGAATCGACTTGCAAAGTGAGGCTTATGTAACAGGGGCTGCGTCTCTTGGGAAGCTAGAACTTTCTGGGAGCGGGGCTGCGTTTGGGGTGCTGGGCGTGGGGCGGACTCGCCGGGGCGCGGGACACCTCAGAGCAAAAGCTGGCGACGCGAGGGCCGGTATCCCGAAGATCTGGTTTCTCCTAAGCATGGTGCCAGGTGTTTATGTTGGCTCAGAACCTGCACGTTCCTACCCCGCCCCTGCGGCCCGCCGCTCTCCGAAGGGAAGCCAGTGGGTGGCGGTGCCGCTGCCCGGTGTCGGCCGCGAGCTTCCTTTCGGCGCAGGCACCCACCAGCTCGCCGCCTCCGGTCCAACCTCCGGACTGATGACAGAGGCCGGGGGACCCCTACAACTGCTCGGCATTCCCGGTGCCTCCGACCTCCTGTTTCGCCCATTTCATGGATGAGGTGGCTGAGACTCAGAAGTAACCTACCCGCAGGCCACTGCTAAGTAACCGGGCGGCCAAGTCAAAGAATCATTCAAACCCTGGCCTTCCTGGCTCCAAGTCCCCCTGACCCCCTTCGGCCATTGGTAAAGGGAGAAATCCCACCCGCAGGCCCGCCCCCAAACCTCTTTTAGCCAGGACCTCTCCCATCGGGTGGGGCAGGGAGTGGGAGGCTGGGAGCTCCTCCTCTTTGTTCTGGGGCTTGTCTTGAATGTGACCTGGCAGCCCCCTGGGACAGCCCGTCAGAAGGGTGGGACCAGGTGTGGTCTCTCCCCTCGAGGAGCTTACAGTCCATTTGCAGAGAGAGACTTGGAAACTGGGAATGGGGAGTGAGTGCATAAGTAAAAAGTGCTTTAGTTGTCGGCAGGATTAACTTCAGCAGGGGAGGTGGAGGAGGAGGAGGAGGAGGACTGGTAGCAAGGTGAGAACTCTGGGCTAGGGGAGGCCACAGGCTCCGGGGAGGGAGGTCGTGCCAGGGACTGTTCTAAGCACTTTAGGGGGATAACTCTTCACCCCCAAGACTAGGTAACTTGCCAGAGGTCAAACACAGGCACGAAGCGAGAGCTGGGTCACGCAGAGAGGGATGGGCCAGGCTGAAGGAACCGAGGCAGGCCTACTCACTAGGAGGCTGCTGGAGAAATCTCAGGATGTTGATGATGGTGGTGGCGATGGCCTCACCTGGGCCTGGGCAGAGTGGGTGGTGAGGGGAGCCAATATGGGAAACGTGTGGCAGATGCCGGGAACGAGTAGGAAGGAGCCCAGGGTGTCTACTTAGGGTGCTATTGGTTGAGGGGAGCAGGTGAGGGCCTGGGTTACAGAGGAGGACAAGACCATGGCATTGGACTCAGTAGCCCAAAAGTGTCGAGCAACCTTGTTCTACAGGTCACTGGAAATCATTGAAGGTTGCAGAAGAAAAAGGGAATCACTTGCATTTTTTATTTTATTTTTAGCAGAGGAAGTCAAGGCCCAGAGAGATTTAAGTGATTGCCCAAAGTCACCCAGCTGGGGGCTGGCAGGATAGGGGCAGGACTGCCCTCTTCCCCTCTTTTCCACTGCCCACCTGCCCTCCAGCAGCTCATTCCAAGCCCTGAATTACTGAAAGCTGCTGGCAGAGATGCCCACAACAAGGGGTGCGGTGCCCAGTGGTTAGGAATGAAGGTTCCAATGAGTGTTATTAGTGTTATTAATATGATTTATAGCTGCCCACACGCATCTTTGTATACATGATCTCATCTAATCCTTGGGAGTTTACTGGTGGCCAGAGAGTTTGAATGAAGCCCTGCTTTGGAACGGGAGGGGAAGGAGATGAAACGAGGTCAGCTGTCCTTGCTTTCTGATCCCAACATGATGTCTGAGGGCCTGGAGATTAAAGTCCAGTCTGTGCCCAGGACAGGTGGGGCTGAGGAAGGGACAGTATGTGCCTCTTTCCCAGACAGGCTGGTGTCTAGAGTTAAAAGGTTTCTGGGTGCTGTGGTCCTGTGACTTGTTCTCTGCATCTGGGGCTCTCCCCTCCTAGGACCATGTCAATCTCTAGGGACGTTGTAACCTTGTCAGGTGTTTTCCCAGCTCCTGCTTTCCTGCAGGTGTCACCAACTTCATGCTACAGATTAGAAAACAGGGGGCAAAGAGTTTAAGAAACTACCCAAGGACAAACACCTCTAATGGTTCATAGAGTAGACACAGAGGTTTTCAAAGGTTTTTTTGATTTGTTTCTTACCAATAGATCCTTTTTTTTTTTTTTTGGTAATAAAAAGAGATACAGACTCTTGGACCCCTAGTGTCTTGAGCAGGTTGCAGGGATCTGTGGTGGTTGAAGTGAGGAAGGGGACCCAGAGCCAGCCTGCTCAGCTTCCCCAAGCACCTGTGCTTCAGTGCCTACAACCCCTCCTGGAAGCCAGAGGACGCAGTTTGAGAGCCAATATGTACTAGCTGAATGGCTCCCACCTCCTGCACATTACACCATTGTCTGGGCAGCTATAACAAGCGTTGTTGTGATTTAGGTGAATGAGCTTGGGCAAGTCACCTGCCTTTGGCATAGTTTCCCTCTTTATGTGCCCCCAACAGAGCTTCCTACTCTACCAACCTCACAGGTTTGAGAATAAAAAACAATCCTACTTAGAGGTGCTGAAAGCAAACTACATCCTTATTCCTGTATCCCTGGGGTTGGAATCAGCAGTAGCGCCTGCATCTGCGGCATGTTTGCAGACAGGCTTGCTGGGCCCTGGCCACAGGAGTCTCCCAGGAGCAAGGCTTTCCTCTATGTCCCTCAGGGAGACACGTGGCCCAGACTTGCCTCTGGAAGACTCCATTGGCACGTGGCTTGGGGTGCACCCTCCAAGGTCCTCATTTCTCCATTCTCTGGTTTCTTAGCAGTGACTGTCTGCTTTGCTTACCTCCCAAACTGGGATGCAGCCTGGCTGCTTCTATACACACTGTAAAGAGGACGATTTAATTTATGACTGGGCAGGAGACGGGGATTGAAGGGAGCTTCAGGTGGAAACGACAGTGGTTGTGAACTTCACCCCTCGTTTATTCCACAGCTCGTCCTCAAGCACCCACTGAATGCCCAGGTCAGACACTGCCGGGTACTGGGGATGCAGTGGTGACGAAACACAGGGGCCCTGCCCTCTCGGAGAAGGTAGTATCTGCGTGAGACAGACGGCGTCTGTAACTGCAGACTGTGGTCAGAATGGTGAAGGGAACGAACAGGTGCCCGACGCAGAATACCAGGAGGGACTTGCTTTGGGTCGGGTGGGCAGGAAAGACCTCGCTGCAGAGGGGACTTTAAGCTGAGACGTGAAGAGTAGAGAAGAGGAGTCGTCCTGGAGGGGCAGAGGAAGCTGCAGAAGAGCCTTTTCAGGCCAAGGGGCCAGTAGGTCTGAGGGAAGAAAGTTCTAGGCATGGGAAGAGGGCTGCCATGCCCAAGCGTGCCCAGGGGAGTTTGCTGGGAGCTGAAGTTGGATCGTGCAGGCTTACGGGCTGTGTAAGGAGTTTGACTCTTTGAAGTATTTCTTTCTTTTGCTTTCTGGGTCAGGGGTTGGGATCGGTGCCCAGGTGGTGTCCCAGGACTGGGAGATAAGAGACGTCTCACTGGACACCTAGCCTGGCTTGCCGGGAGACCGAGGTGGGGGTGCCCCGTTCCATGGCTGCACCAGAGGCTGAGGAGAGCCGCAGTGGCTTCCCCACACCTAGAAGCTGCCAGAACAGTTTGGTTGGCAAGCTCTGGGAGGCGTGCAGCCTGTGGGAGGCGTGCAGCCTGTGCGAGTCCGCAGGGCAAGGTGCAAACATCACTTTGAGGACGGACGGAAAGGAGGCAGTAACATGGAGTCCTGCACTGACGGGGGGTGTGGGATCAGGTGAGTGGAGGTCAGGACGGAATGGCCGTGTCCTGGGGAGGTGGCGGGGACCTTGTATTGATACGCTTGGTACACCCTCCAGCCCTGCCAGGCAGGATTCTTGTTTGACACGCAAAGAAACCTAGGCCGGCTGCATGTTCAGGGTCGCTGCAGCCAGGCAAGGCAGGTTTTCTGAATTCGGAACCGACCAGGATTTGCCAGTCCATTGGATTTCTCACCCACTATAAAGACCGTGAAAGGAAGAAAGGTCAGGGAACTCTTCGTGCCTGGTGAATCCTGGGCTGTAAACGCTTGCAGTCCAGGCTGGAGGACAAAGGACAGGTGGAGTGGGGAAGGGTTCCCCAGAGAAGGTGGATCTGTGCTGCGGAAGCCACGAGGAAAGGGGGCGTCCAGGCTTCACGCGAGACCTGAGAGAAACTGAGGCTGTGAGAGCTGGAAGACCTGTTCGGGGGTCTTCCTGGAGGGGCTGGAGGGCCCTCACTGACACGGTGCTTCCTGTGGTGTCTTCCAGGCCCAGAGGCTGTTGGGCCAAAGGAGGCCCCACCGGTCCTTCTTTGAATCCTTCATCCGGACCCTTATCATCACGTGTGCCTCCCTGGCCGTGGTCCTGTCCTCCGTCTCCATCTGTGATGGGCGCTGGCTCCTGGCCGGGGACCGCCTCTTCGGGCTGTGGCACTACTGCACTGCCACCAACCAGAGCGAGCCGCGCTGCCTCAGAGACCTGGGTCAGGCCCACGTGCCCGGGCTGGCCGTGGGCATGGGCCTGGCCCGCACCGTGGGCGCCTTGGCCGTGGTGGCTGCCATTTTTGGCCTGGAGCTCCTCATGGTGTCCCAGGTGTATGATGACGTCCACTCACGGCGCAAGTGGGCCATGGGCTCCGTCCTCCTCCTGGTCTCTTTCGTCCTCTCCTGCGGGGGGCTCCTGAGTTTTGTGATCCTGCTCAGGAACCAGGTCACGCTCATCGGCTTCACCCTGATGTTCTGGTGCGAATTCACTGCCTCCTTTCTCCTCTTCCTGAATGCCATCAGTGGCCTTCACGTCAACACCATCACCCGTCCCTGGCAACAACCAAGGAAATTTTAGGGCCCCCCCCCACCCAGGGACATCAGGTTCTGTAAGAAAGTGTGGTCAGGATGGGACTTTTCCAACATGTGGCCTCTGGTGGGCTGGGGTGGGACAATGACCTTGAAACTGCAGCCTCTTAGCCAATAACCTTTGGGTGGTCGGCCAGAAGTGGCCCCAGGGCCTCTGCAGCTGGTCTGCAGGGCTGGAGGCCAGGAGGGTGCGTCAGTGCCACCAGCTGCACAGCCTTACCAAGTTATTAGGGTATTGATTATAGAAGAAGAGAAACATGTTAAAACTTTTCTTGAGTTTTCCTCCCTGGACTGGAATAGATTTGGAAGCAGCTTGAGTAACTGGTGCCTGGGCTCGCTGCACAGCCAAGCCCGGTTCACGCCTGTTTTATCGATGCTGGGATATGGGCTGTGGGATCCCGGGGGTGCCCAGGCTGGCTAAGAATGGGTCATTCTTGCAGCTAAGGGTCCAATCAGTGCCTAGGACTTTCTTCCACCAGCCGAAAAGGTCTTCATGCATATGTCCCTGGCTTTGGCTTTCGCCATGTCAAGGAGGCAGAGTTCAAGATTCCCTCAGAATGTATTGTACGTAGCAGTTTTCAAACCATTTGACTTGGTTTGACCCCTGCCCTTTGTGGGAACCTCACAACCCGTGGATAACCCTAGCTTCTAGCAGCTGGCTGTCCCCGCTGGGGACTCTGCCTGTCAGAATCCTGCCTTAAGGTGGGTTTCCTTTCTCCTTCGAGAAGAGTTCTTGAGCAAGCCCTCCCAGGAGCCCACCTGACTTCTGAATACACAGTCCTCCCCAAGGCCAGCATGTGTGCGTGTTCCTCTTTTATAGGGGTCAGACAGCAGCCTCAGGGTACCATTTCCAACCCTAGAACACATTTCAAAGAGCACGTACCTGGACCTGCTGGACTCCCAGGGCGTGCAGGGAGCAGCCAGCCCTGGGTAATGATTAACAACTGTCTTGGGATGAGTGGAGATGAAGGGGGCCGGGGACCAGTGGAGATTTCCATCCTCGCCAGCACCTCTGCATTTTTGTTCATCACGTTGCTCCCTTTCCAGTCCCTTTTCTGCCCAGAAGTAAGTGAGGTCTTTGCCTTCAGCCCATTTTGTCCTACATGGGCCCCTTTCCTTCCCCTACTGGGTAAATTCTGGCTTTCCCTGTGTTCTAGCTCCCATGCATTGCATGGGGTTTTTGGTCTCTTCCCTGCCCTTGTCATTGCAGGTCCCCTTCCTGGGCTGGGCTGGGTGCCTGTACCTACCACTATTGCGATTTTTAAAGATTGTTATTCCAGATGCACAGAGTCGGGAGGCAGTGTGGCTCCAAGGCGCAAGGTGTGGACTCCAAGGCTGGGCAGAGTTGTGATCACTCCAGAAGAGTGTCTGTGGACTGCTCGGTTCTGCAGCGAGCAGAGCTCATTAACCCACAGGCCCCACCTTAGCCTGGCAAGTGGGAAGCTGGGGCAGTCTCTAAGGTGCAGAGGGGGTGAGTGAGGGAGGGGAGGTGTGGAGGTGGGGAGCCAGGGCCCAGAGAGGGACACACACTTGTCCAGGGTCACCCAAAGCCAGGACTAGAGCTGGCCCACCCACAAGCAAGATGCTTTTCCCTCAACACTGGGGGAGTTGTCTCTGCTTTCCAGAACACCACAGCCTGAGCACTAGGAGGTTTTGTTTTGTAGAAAGGTTCAAATATTTAGTCCTCTTTCATCCTCACTTGGGGGCAGGGAGTCCAGATACTCAGAGGAACTGAGAGCCAGAGTGCAGGGTGAGACGAAAGTCCCTAAGAGCTTGGTGAGACAGGAGACGGGCCTCTGTCTTTCCCTGCCTGGGAGCATGGGCATTTGAGATCAAAACTCCACCTCCTTGCTGAGTAGCTTGGGTGCGTGAGTATGGGGTCTTGGTGGACCTGTTTCTCATCTGTAAAATATGATCCCATCCCATTTTCTGCTGCACCTGCCTCCCAGGCTGAGGATAGCTGTGAAAGACCAGGAAGAACAGGGGTGTGCCTCATCCCCTGTCAGGGATACTAAAAGGGGCTGGAGGCCCTCAGGCTGCCCTGACCTCCACTGCGACTTTATCAGATTAATTTAGCTCAGGTAAGAGCTACTGTACAGGTGAGTTGCAGTGAGGGACAGGATTTGCCTAGGGCCAAGGGCTTTGATTTCTCACCTTGCCTGAGCTTCTAAGCTTGTCCCTAAAAAACTGCAGCTAGGGGACCAGGGAGGACCCCTCCTCCTGCAGAAAAGGGTTGTGAGTGCGCCAGAGCATACTCCCTCACCTTGTGTCCAGGCAAAAGGACTGACACAGACCAGACCTCGTCCCAGGTCCCATTGATTTCCCTGTTCCCTTTGAGGACCCCTGAGCTGCTCTTCCCAGAAGAGCAAACAGACCAAGTCCCAAGCCCTAGCCTGTGCCATGGTGCCCCAAGTCCCTTCTGTTCAGTTCTGAGGAATCCAAGGCCTGGGGGAGGGGCGTCGCCCCCACAGGAAAGAGCGCAAGGTGTCTGCTGGGAAGACCGGCTGTCCCGGATCAGCGTCCAGCCCTCCTCAGGAGCCATGTTAGCCTCTGTCCATGGTGGCCCCATCCAGCCTCTCAGATGACACTGCCCCTGCAGGTGCTCTGGCTCTGCTCCGAGGTGCTGGCCTTGGTGCCATTGCTGAAGGAAGAGCTGAGGACCACGGGGCGCAGCGGGAACTCATAGAGGTGCCACTGCTGCCACTTCTTCTGAACCTCCAGCTGCACCTGCCCCAGAGACCAGCCATCAGCCCAGAAAAGGACAGCCCTGTGCCCAGAGCCCCACACTCCCCTGGGGCCTCTGCACAGGCCCTGCCACTCCTGCGCAGCGGTCCTGCTGTCCCCTCACTTGCAGGCCACTCAGATTGACCATTTCCAGCCCCTCTGTCCAGTAGGGACACTCCGCCCCAGGCACTGACACCTGGGATCTCATTACATCGTATCCCAACGAAAGGACTTGTGGTTTGTTTCACAAACTGTAGAACTTGTACATCCAGATCTGTACCTGGGACAATTGGATACTTATTCCCACGAAGGCACCCAAGCTAAGAACTTATCTAGGACCTAGGGAGTTGCTCTTGGAAATTTGTTCACAATCCCCACATGGAACAGCCCAACCTTTGAGGCTAGGCTTGATAACGGATGTTTGGGAAACATCAGAGGTCATTCCCATTCAAGTGTGGCAAACCAGATAGAGGGTCAACAGTCACAGAAAGGCTTTACTTGTGTGCAAGACTGTAACTAATGTTGACTACACAGCTTTTCTGTGTGCCCGGAGCCTCGTGTCCTGACCCAAATGCTCTGTGCAAGGCCAGAGTCCCCAAAGTGGGTGCGCAGTCTCCTGAGGGATCAACACTCATTGGTGGTCTCGGGGACTGAGCTGCAGACATTTCTTCCAAGTTGCCTGTTTCCCACATGGGAAGACTGAGGCCGAGAGAAGGGCAGTGACTGAGATCACCCGACAACCCAGCAGCAGGGCAGTAGAGCCTGGGTTCTCACTGGGGTGCCTGTATTTCTTGTGGTGTTTCCTGAATTTGCCCGTGGATAAGAATCACCCGGAGTGCTTGTTAAAAAAACATTTTCTCAGACCCCAGCCCAGACCTACAGAATCCACTTTTGCTGAATCAGAAACTGGGAGTGGGGCCCAGCAATTGTTTTAACAAGCCTACCAGGTGATTCTGCTACTCCCACCAAGTGAGCTCAGACTCCTACAAGAATAGCCAAGCACTTGCCTTGAGGCTGGGCCACCCGCTGCCCATTCCACCTCCTTCCCCACTACCCTTCCCAGGTAGCTCCTTCTGAACCAGCATCAGTTGGCTAGAAGCTCCCCCAGGCATCCAAGCAACCCAAGATCACTCACCTCCCCGTTGAGGAAGCAGTAGAGGACAGCCACCACCAGTCCCTGCGAGGGGAGCAGAGGCAGCAGGGATTAGTGTTGATGCTTCAGCACCCAGCTTGAACAGCTGGCCAACCTCCTCCCCAAGTCCTTAATTACTAGCTCCAAGCTCACTTCCCTACCTCTCTTACCTCAAGGGAGCTTGGGCTACCTCCTGTGGGCCGCCCACCGCACCCCTGGCTGCGCCTGCACACTGGGCTTACACTGAGCAACTTGGGGCCAAGGACGGGCTCCCCCTCATCTGTTGTCCCTGGCGTCTAGCATAGGCCCTTGAACACACGTGGTGTTGGGGGCTGCTACCTCAGGCCGGCGGGGATGGGCAGCTCACCCGAGTTGGTAAGGTAAGCCCCCTGGGGAAGCAGGGGGTGGTGGCACCAAAGTATGCCCACCCCAGTGGGAGGGGTGTGGTCCACCCAGGATGAGACCCTGGGCCCACCCAGTGTGGTCTTGTTTTCAAGATAAGCTGGAAATCTGAAGCTGTTTAAACATGGACAACAAATTCAAATTGAAAAACTAATATGTGGGCAGAACAAACAAGATACAGGTCCCAGCCGGCCAGCAGTGGGGTCTGACCTCCCTGCTTAATGGACTGGTGGATGCATCTCCATGGCCAGGACTGTATGTTCCCTAGCGTGGTGGAGTCTGTGCCTACCAGGACTCTCCCTCCCTGGTATTTGGAGCTCCCTGACTTTCTGATGGTGCCCCCAGGATCCTGGCTTGGAGCTCTGCAGGGGAGGGACTCCAGTCTGGGATGCCTGATTCGAGCCTAAGAGGCCTGCAGAACCCGCGGGAAGCGGTGTCTCTGCAGCATGTCCTCCCTGCGCACCGCTCTCAGGGACGCACCCTGGGCCACCCTTCCCTGTCTTACAGGACTGCCCCCAGGTTCCCCCACAGAGGCCTGAATGCCACAGCTCTGACCTTAGGGGGCCCAACCCCTGCTCCCTAGTCCCACCCAGGCCTGCCCGTAGCTACTTACCACATTGGAAAGGACCCTAATAGGCGATGAACCAACCCTGTGGATTAAGTCTATGGTGGGCTCAATATGTACGACTGCTCGGGGATATTGGCAATTTTTTTTTTTTTTGAGACATAGTCTCACTCTGTTGCCCTGGCTAGAGTGAGTGCCGTGGAGTCAGCCTAGCTCACAGCAACCTCGAACTCCTGGGCTCAAGCGATCCTACTGCTTCAGCCTCCCGAGTAGCTGGGACTACAGGCATGCGCCACCATGCCCGGCTAATTTTTTCTACATATATTTTTAGTTGTCCAGATAGTTTCTTTCTATTTTTAGTAGAGAGGGGGTCTCGCTCTTGTTCAGGCTGGTCTCGAACTCCTGACCTGGAGGGATCCTCCTGCCTCGGCCTCCCAGAGTGCTA